TTTTCATCAAAGTTACAACTTTGCCCCAGCCCCCAAAATGGGGTATAATGGAGTATATATAATAGGGTATTCGCTTGATAAACCCTTTAAAATGAGGGGTCACATGATAGGTGTTTACATTTGAAAATTTAGGGCTGCCCCCAAAATACCCCATTTTGGGGGTATTTTGGGGGCAGTCCTAAATTTTCAAATGTAAACACCTATCATGTGACCCCTCATTTTAAAGGGTTTATCAAGCGAAATTAAATGGCGCAAACCAGAGGTCAATATCGCACCCCTAATCAAAATGGCAGCCATTTTAATTTAAGATGAGCAAGCAAGATTAAGTCTGGACACCCCCAGTTAACTTTAAAAATTTAATATTTTAATACTGATCAAAAGGTTAAATCTTGCCAGACTTAATCTTGCTTGCTTATTTTAAATTAAAATGGCTGGCATTTTGATTAGGGGTGCGATATTGACCTCTGGTTTGCGCCATTCAATTTCTCTTGATAAGCCCTTTAAAATGAGAGGTCACATGATAGGTGTTTACATTTGAAAATTTGGGGCTGCCCCTAAAATACCCCACTTTATGGGCTGGGGCAAAGTTGTATTTTTGATGAAAAGGTGCAATTTCTTATGTTTTAAATATGTGCCGAGTTAAGTTTTCCTACTGCAACGCGTTAAAAAGTTAACTGGGGGGTTCCAGACTTTTACCTAACCCTGTATATAATAATGAATCTATAAGTCTACAATTTTATACAAGAAAGTCCAAATAATTTAGTTGTACCTATCCTACTTCCATAAAAACCGGTTTTACAAGAGTTTTTTTTACGTGTGATAAAACAATGTAATCGTCTTTTGACGCCTGTGAACCATGAGACAAAAACTACAACCATCCCAAACCTCTTACCATGATCACTACGAATAACTGTCCCACAGAGTAATTTTCTGAATTAATATATGACTACCGAAAAGTTGGCTATCCAATGAAGTAAAGTAAAAAACTGTCTTTCATCCTCCTGAAACTCAAAATAAACGAAACAACTAAACTAGGTGTACAATACAGTTATCTGCTTGCTATATTGAGCGGAGCTAGCATATTAACCCAATTATTGTACTTTTCCAAAGTCAATGCTACATCTAGTTAACGAAAATGCAGTTAACGATCTCTACTTGCAGTATCACAAGTCAATGCTTTATAAGTTTCTCGTAAATGAGATCTCTACTTGCAGTATCTCAAGTCAGTGGTACACGTGGTTCACGTAAATGAGAAATCTACTTGCAGTATTAAAAGTGAATGGTGTATTTGGTTCTCACTAACTAAATGTTCACTTGCAGTATATTTATGTAAATGGTATATTTGGGTCACATATCATTTGCTTATTGTTCAACTTGAACAGATTGTAAATTAAATAAAGTTAAAAAAAAATAAATAAATAGAATGCCTATTTGTAGGATCCAAAGTCAAAGGTATATGTGGTTCACATAAATGGAATAACTATTTGGAGTTTCTAAAGTCAATGGTGCATACGCCTAATTCCGGCGACCCTAATTGGTAAATCATTGGAATTTGGTAATCATCTAATTGGTTCATTTTGTAGATAATATGCTCAACGATATTAATCCGATGGTTCTTCCCATTTGTTTTGTATTTGTAATGTAATGATTAGTTGACTAACATGTGTTATGATTCTTTTGTTTACTTTTTGTTGCTATCTTTCAAATAATATCATGGCGACCAATAAACCCATAAGGCCCATGTTCAATTTCTAAAAGTTTAAACTCATGTAGGGAAAAGCCCTGTAGTCGGATTTGTACCATTTCATATTTATACCATAGATAAAACACCTTCCCACGGTTGGTTACTATGACTGTGCTAGATATCGCGCGGATCGCTTCTGCCGTTCAGGAGTATTTGTCAACAAAAGCAGGAGTGTAGTGTAAGAGCACAGACAATATAGTCTGTGGTAAGAGCTTCACTCGCTTTGCTTGCTCCTCTCAATAAATAGTGGTTAAAAAAATTTTAAACCAAAATAATTTGCTTTGTATGTTAACCATCATTTTTTTTGTTTACACGCGCCTCAAAAGCTATTTTCCAACAACAGAAGTCAACAACCTTTGTCACATTGTCTAGCTGGTTACACAACCTCGGCCAGTTTTGGTTTTGACCTTGTAACCATGGGAAGTGGGGGGAAGTATAGACTAGACACACATCTAGACTATTAATAATGAAATCCTTATCCAAACTCCCCAACAATATTTGCTAAGCATTGTGACTGTACCTCAGATTCAATAATACGCAAAATTGTCATTTTAGCGAATTTCCCATATAGTGAAAACCCTACCTATTACAACTTATGGTAAGACCTGGAAACGGGACTGATTGACTTTTTCTTTTTGAGATGCTCAAAGACCTAATCACGTATAATGGGGTAAAATAGGGGTTTCCCTTTTTTGCCCCATAAAAAATAGACTTTTACAATTTTTTCCAAACCATTTTGTAGAGCTTAAACAAATAGTTTGTAGGTATGTGGAAGCGTTGTTGTACGCTTAATGGTTACGGAGAACTCTTAAAAACAAATTGAAAATCCCCACGTTATTCCTATCCTATGGTGAAACTAAATGTTGTAGTTTGCTTGTTTTAGGTATATGTTTTGATTAAATTTGCTACGATATTAATATTTCGCTAAAAAACTCTCTTTATTATCTTTCATGTAGCAAACCTAAGTACGTCTGATTTTTCTTTGACTATTAATACAATGGCACTAGTTAAATCCAAAGTTATTTAAGTAGGGAATAAATCTGACTTATTTGAGGACTCATTCAAGTGAAAAGCCAACCAACCAAGCCAATGAAAATTCGCTTAGTCTGCAGGTTTCCCACGGCGAAGATATTTAGTTTATTTGCGTTTCCCTTTCTCCGATGTTCGATTGTCAAACAGATCTACTTATGAACGATGTTGTATACCTCACTGCGCAAGAATATTAGTAGGGGGTTCACTTTAGAAAATTTGTGTTTAGACGATTCACGATTAATACGCAGGTTTATTTGAAGTGAAAAAATCTTTAATGTATTTATATAGTTTGAATATGAAACAGTTTCTCAATAAGTTGGTTTCTTAGCTTAAATAATTTGAAAAGTGTGTGATTGGTGGTGGCTCAATTTTACTACTCAATTTGTAGGTTATTTTTCCTTTTTTGAGCTGGACAACTTTAACATGCGAAATTGAATGTCTAGTTCTCTTGGTGGTCAAAGCTAATACCCAGTTTTTATTTCATGAGTCTATTTAAATTGAAAACAGATTTTGCTTTCTCCCCCTTTACATAATACAGGATACAGAGGATGTGTACAGAGCTACAGACCACACCTGAAGTCCGTTGTTGATGAAATTTTGTATATAGACGCTAATCCATGGTATCTCCAGGTGTTTTTAATTTTCCTGAAATTTTGATTTTAATGGTGATTTTTCCATAAAAACCCATAAAAACGGAAAAATATAACTTCCTCTAAAATGTCTAAAAACGATTTTGATAAAAAATTTAGTAAGTTGTAGCCCTTTAAATTGTGAACAAAATTGTTGAACTCCCATTCCTGTAAAATACGGTTCAAAAGTTAATGCAACTTTTGTTATTTTACCCTATTAAATCATAGTTACTCTCATCGCTTACCCATGATAAAGGTTGCTAATGGGAGAGAGCGTGTGCTCCCACTATCTCCGCGTTCCGCCATCTCCGAACCCAAATCTGTCCCGCCACCTCCGAATTCTTGAGTGACCCTTATAATCCCGCCACTGCCTGCGTTGTTAGCTGTCATTGCATCCACGGCTGCGAAGCCCCGTGGATGGAAGATTTAATGAAAATTTAACCCGTGAGTTAGGTTAGGTTAGGTCAGGTTAGGTTAGGTTAGGTTAGGTTGGGTTAGGTTAGGTTAAGTTAGGTTATGTTAGGTTTGGACGGAAAGTCTTAACGCAGGAAGTAACCGAGGATTATAGGTGTCACTCTGAAATTCGGAGATAGCGGTACACGGAGGTGGCGGGACGCGGAGATAGCGGGAGGTAACCGGAGAGAGTATATGTCAGATTGCTGATAACGTTTATTTTTCTCGGATGAATCAACTATAGTTAAACTCATGTTTTCTTATTTGTTTTGAATTTCCTGGGACATCCTTGGCAATAAGGAACATTCAGCAAGTAGCTGAATTAGTACACAACAAAACGTATTCCACCGGACATGAACACGCATTAAAACCATTTCAACATGGTAATAATCAAATCTACAAGAGAGTTGAAATAAAATTGAATATAAATTGAATGGCTTTAGCTATGACTATACCGGTACTTAAAATTAAACGGTATCAGTAAACTGTCATATAAGTTCTCCCATTATCTTGACAACAACCCTAATAATGGCTAAGCGGTGGGAGTGACTATGATACTTAAATGGGTTAAAAATTAAAATACAAAACTTTCAATAACTTTTGAACCATAACTTTAATAGCGTTGTGGCTTGGGTTGTACTATTTTTTTTTTTTTTTTTTTTTTTTTGTTAAAAGACCTACAACATACTAAATTTTTATCCCAATCATATCACAGGTGTATTCTGTAGCTCTGTAGCACACACACAAAGTCACCCATACAGACTTTACAAAATAACATTTTTAGGCTCAAGAGGGACCAAAAACAGATGTCTACACTCACAACTCAGATTCAACTATTTTGACAACAATACTTTTTCCCATATTTTTGTCATATACGAGGAAACAGTAAAAATAATACTACAAGAAGTAAACCAGCCGAAATACTTTCTCCAATTACGGAATTAATCCTTCAATCAAACCTCAGCGGTAACGAGCGTAATTCCTCTTCAGAACTTTCCCGCCAAGAACCAAGTCTTCCCGCCAAGTGGTAAGCGCCTTTGACAGTCTATCATCTTCAAGAGTCTTTGATAGTATTAAATCAAATCCGATGTAGTGGGAGGGGTTGGGGGGGGGGGGCGAAGGACGAGTTAGTGGCAATTGACTACGTGCATTTGCGTGCGAGCATTCAACACCATGGTGAGTTGTATAAATTTGATCCAGTCTAAACTAAGTGATTCGAAGTGTGAGCCAAAAAGTTAAACATTTTAATTTAACATATTTATAGGAAGAGGTATGATTAATGGAGCTCTTGTGTTTAGAAACAAATTTTATGGGTGAAAATATTGTGTGGGTTTAATTACTTTTAGAGGGAAATAGTGTTTAACGTAAGATAATAATTTGTATATCAATTTGTTTAGTCATTATTAAGTGGTTAGGTTAGTGCGTGTGTTCATTAATTTTTCCAAACATTTCCCATGGGATACGAAAAAGATTTTTTTTAATGGAGTAAAATGTGTAAATAAACAAAATGTTATTTAAGTGGGGTGTTTCCTTTTGGGATATTTCAAGGTTGGTGACAACATTTACTATTGTATACTAGTACTACTTGTAATTTAATATTGTTTGTAAGAGTTTATGTTTAATATCTTAAAAAATACTTTTATGTTGATGCGATGTTTAATTGAGTTGGTGATATACAGGGATGCATGATAAGCCCATTATTTTTTTAATTTCTTTACAAAAACGTGAAACAAAATTAAAGGCTTAAGTTTAGTATGACCTATGTTTAAAAAAATTCGCAAAAAAACTTTCTTAATACAAGTAATTTCATTAGACGTACATTATTTGATTGTTTTTACTTTTGCAAGAGTGTAAACGGAACTAGTGTTTAAAAAGCTAAGTTGTGCTTTCGTAAATTGTAATTTAATTTTATATAGGTAATGTAAATTAGGTGTGTCATAACTTTAAAATAATGAGATATTTCTATTATTGATTTATTTAGTGTATTATTTTTAAAAGACGGATAAAACCAGTATCGTGTACAGTTAATTGTCGTTTATTACTAAATTTTATATGCATAATATTCCCTATAAAATCTTTTAAATACGATATTTTTGCATAAAAGGTTAATTATGCAAAACAAATGAAAATAATTTATTCATAGGACCTTAAACCTGCTTTCATTGTAATACTTCTTTTCATCCCATTACAGATTACACGTGCATGATATGTAAATAGTTAGTTAAGTGACAAAGTGTCATGAATAACAATTTCTCTTAGTAAAGTAATAAATTTATAACAAAACCAAACGAATTGGAAGTATCTTATGGAAATTCTGAGATAGAAAAAACATGAAGAATTTTAGGAGTGTTTAATTTTTTATCCTTGTTATTTAATTTTAGCAAATCTCCCATATACGGAATAAGTTATTACCGTAGGTATCGTGGTAAGACCTAGACCCGGGACCGCTTCACTTTTTCGTTTTCATCTCCCCAAAGACCAAAAACACCATCCGTTCAAATTCATATACAAATTTAATTATTTATTTATTTACATATTCACGTGTCAGTTAGCACGATAAGTAAAAAAATCATCCGATTATGATGACATTTGGTACAAACGTGTAAACCGAAGTTTATTCGAACGAGTATGCAAACCAGCATCACCAGACATGGGGACGGAGTTTAATTGGGTAAAATTTGGTTTTTCTTTTTTTTACCCTAAAAACATAACTTCGCAATTTTTTCTAAGCCGTTTTGTAGAGGGAAACAAACAATTTGGGTGTTTGAAGCGTATTCGTGCGCAAAACTATAATATTGGAGAACCCCTAAATTTGTTATTTCTGTGTTTTCTTAAAGAGGAGGAGTTTGTTAACTGTTGCAGTTTCCTCGTCTGTGAATATATTTCACTTATATCATTCAAATCAATTACAATTTAACTAAAACACGCGTTTTTTTACATTTCTTGGAGCAGCTACCTTAAGTTGGTACTCATTAAGCCTAATTGTTATTAAATAGGGAATATTTGAGAGAAAATCCGACCAGACAAATGGAAATTCGCCTAGTTTGCATGTTTGCTGTGGCGGGGGTATTAATAACTTGAAAACCCATAAGTATTTCTACACTTACTACGACAAATCACGTGTTTAGGACTATTTTTGTGTAATTTATCACCCATTGTTATTGTTATCATACGAGTGTTATATTTAGAATATTGATGTCGATATTATCAGTTGTGGATAATTGCCCACTCAATGCCGCAACGTTTAACACAATATGGATCTTTACACGAATTGAAAAGTTTAAAACCTTTTTACTGTGCATGTTGACAGGTTATCAGACAAATTTGATTTTTGTTGTTTCATGAATTCATAATATTAAATTTGGTAGCGTAGCTTATACAGGGTATCCCGTAAGCAAGTACAAAAAATTATGAATAGGTTTGTTGGGTCAAATTAAACCAAAATCAGGCATAACGTTCTTTCCAAAGATTCCTTTGTAGCAAAGTATGCGCATTTTTTAAATATTATTTATATCTTAAATATAGATTTATAAAACTTGGTATAAAATATTATGATGTCATAAACTATTAAAGAAAATAATAATAATTGAAAATATTTTTTTTTTCTTAATGCCGTCATTTAAATCTTTATAACTTGAATTAAGTTACTGAAAAAGGTTCATTTTATGAAAAATACCAAGAACACTAGGTGTCGTTTGATAGGAAATTTTGGATTTTAAATGAAAGTGTTCTATAATTTCTTTTATAAATTCAATTACACTATAATTTCTTTTATAAATTAAATTATTTCTTGGTAATTACAGTTTTAAAAATTGAAATAGCCGCCATTTTGAAATTGAAAAGAATTAATTCATGATTATTTTTTCATTAAACAGCTTATGACTTCAAAAAAATTGTACACCTAATTTCATAGGGGTATTTTAAAATTGTTTTAAGGTACATCTTTAAAACACAAAAACATAATGGTGGATATTTCGCAAATGTAGGGTTTTGGAAACAATCTTATTCTTAATTTTGTTGAATATCAACTTATATCTCTGAATATTATTATTTTAAATAGTCATCCTAATAGTCAATGCTTATACCTAAATTTTGTTACTTAAGGATATCCTGTATAACAAATCTGTAGTATCATTAATATTGTAGTAAACAATACAAAAGTTGAACCCCTTGCTTTTTACACAATTCCCGCAAACATCACAAGCTGAAGGTCGCTGGTTGATTCCAGACCCAGATGCCATTTGTCATTCCATTGGGCTATGAATTAATTATGTTAACTGACAAAAAGGTCGACGTTAGGTAGTAACAAGACCAGGGTTTGGACCGTTACCTTTCAAAACGTAAAAAATGCCACTGGCGTAAAAACACTCAAAATAAAAAAAATCACAGACTTTACTGCTTGCATTGATGCTGTGCGGGTTGCAGCATAGTATGTCGGGTGATTTTTATTTTTAATCGGAATGATAAAATCACTGGGGACATCAAAACGAAAAAGTAAATCAGACCCGGGACCAGGTTTTACTATAACACCTACAGTGATAGCTTATTCGCTTATTCCCTGTATGGGAAATTCGCTCAAATTTCCAAAAATAAAACAAAGCCTAGAGATACCATGGATTAGTACAAACTAATTTGCATCAAAATCCACGTTTTTTTATTTATTTATTTATTTATTTCCTCTCAACGGTTACACCATTTTACAGCGAATATATGGTATGTTACATGTTGTATCTAATAGCCACAAAATATTGAGCAACAGTAACTTTTTGTAACGTTTTGGGGTTCAGGGGGGCTCAAAACGTATATTTACACCCAAAACTAAAACTCAAAAATTATTATGAAAATAATACTTTCTCTTTAAGCCGGTAAAGTAATAAGCTTAGAATTAATAAATTCTTACCAAGATGCCAGGTAACATTATTATTTATTATCTTAAGGCTATACACATGTAAGATGAGATGAACCTCTCGAAATAATAATTTAGCTATGACTTATAAGAAATGAGTTCTACGATTAGTATACCTAAATGTAAAATATTTAAACAATTACAGTGACGATAAAATTTGAGTAATTAGATTGTTCAAAGTCGAATAACTTCTACATTTCAATTTTGGAGAAACTGTTTGCATCTAAAGTAAATTAGTTCTTCAGATACAAGACCATGTTTATGACTCATTCTTCACTAATAATTCATTCTTATCATTTAAAATGCAATAGTAAAGATAATGTTTAAACAAATTACTGACATAATAATAACTCTTCCCTTTTACTATGTGGGGTTTTATTTTGTTGGATATACTAAACTTAATGTAGATACAATTTTTAAAGCATCATATGCATTTGTATTATACTTTTACACCCTATTATCCACTGTGTCTGTTGATTTTACAATTATAAGGTGACAGAAATGTCAATTATGTAAAATAGAATCATTATAAACCATTACTATTTTGTATTTTATTTGTTTTCTCTTAAGTTAATATATGTAATAGGATTATTATGATGGCTAAGCACAAAGTAAAGATAAATAAATTAACAAGTTATTTTATTTTGTACATACTATTGCATTACTACTTAACTACTTTAATACTCGCATAAGTAAACCCAGTCAAAAATAGACATGGGATATTTGATATTTCATCTTTACAATAATCCTGTGCCATTGATTACTGATTTGTTTATACTAGGAAACTTAACTTAGGCATAAAGGTTATCTGTATTGATAAATCAAACTTCTCTGAGTCACGGGTCAATATTAGACATATTACATTTACTTTCTGATCATTAGAAAATATTTTTTTAAATTGAACCATTTAATAATGGAAAATACAGTTATAGACACAAAATGTGCACAATTTAAAATTGAGTCAGTGGAGTTTTGAGTCAGCACCAGAGATTTGAAATTAAAATAAGATCTTTGAGAAAATTCTATGAATTTCAATTATTAATTATCAATTATATCAATCACTGAGATGGGGACGCCACCTAGTTGCTTATTTTAACACACCAAGGTAAAATATGAGTGAAGTATGAATGTGGAATGGTGTGAGATGTGAGATGTGAGATGTTCTGTGTCGCTTTGTTACTGACTAAGATCTGTTTCATTAGCCAGGATCATTTATTTAAAGCCCCATAATCAGAAATAGTTGGGACCGGGTTTTTAACCATCAAAAAGG